CCTCACCCTTGCTGCGCAAGGGGAAGACTGTGGTGTAACGCGAGTAGTCGTCAACCACCAGCAGGAAGTAACGCTCATGACCCTGTCCACGGACGCGGGCGGGGCCCCACACGTCCATGTGGAGAGTCTACAGCGGAGCCTCTGTCGGAGGAAACTCGGAGGAGTGAGGAGCGGCGCGCTGCCGCCCCTCGACGCAGGGAACGCAGGTAGGGGCAGGCCCCGGAGGAAGGGGAGGGAGGGACCGGGGGAGACCAGAGACAAGGACACGGGAGGCCATGCCTCGGAGACGAGGCAGGGAGGGGTGACCAAGGCGGTGGTGCCAGAGGAGAGTCTGGTGGGACAGGAGGCGACACGAGCAGGGGGCAGACTCAGGACCAGACCGAGACGCTGCAGCAAACACCTGACCCGACGCAGCTACCTGACCAGACGCAGCAACCGAAGGAGACTCGGTCGTCAGTGTGTACAGGCTCGACCCCGGCTGACGGGTAAACGTGGCCAAGTGTCGGCCCGTCTGAGCACACGTGCAGTGGGTCACTCGCTGACTCGCAGGAGTGAACTGGTCAACCCCTCCATCCTGCAGGTCAGCACCACTCACCAAGTTTGTAGAGAACGAGGGGAGATAAAGACCTGACAGGGAGCCGGACGGGGCCGCCAGACACGGTAGGACAGTGGATTAGTGCGCAAGGACAGGACCCCCAGAGGGGTCTGCCAGAGAGACTGCAACCGGCCGACTAAGCGGCGTGAGGGTGGTGCGGTCTCCAAAGAAGAAGCGGGAAGCACCCGAGTCAAGGGTGAAGGTGTGCAAAACCGCAGCAGGCGCAGCACCAGAGAGAGCAGACTCACCAGCACCTGGAGTAGGAGACTCACTAGCACCTAGAGCAGTAGCCTCACCGACACCTGGAGCAGGAGACGCACGAGCACCTAGAGCAGCAGCCTCACCAGCACCTAGCGCAGCAGACTTGATACCGGGGTCAGGCGGCACACACAGGTGACAGGCTCCCTTGGCACTAGTAGACAATGCATACATTGCAGTGAGAATAGCATCATAGTCAAGAACAAAGACATCTACCCTCTGTCTAAGCAGCTCCACCCAGTCGGGGAGCTCAGCGTCGTCGCCAAACTCTGTACGCCAAGCGTCGCTCAGACGGGCGAAGCAGCAGGACTCTGTGTGACCAGGCGTCCCGCAAGGCCGACCAGTCTGGACACCCGTGCGAATAACGTACGGGCAGCGAGCAGTACTCAGCGACCCTCTACTCTGTGCGTACCACTCACGAAGCTGCTGGGGTGAACGAGTCTCGCGCGGACGACGCTGCTGCTGCACCGGGCCACTACAAGAAGCTCCCGAACTACCCACTCCAGGACGACTCCCACTACGGCCACCCCGACAACCCCACCAAGCGTACCACTCACGAAGCTGGTGGGGCATAAGGGACGCACGCGGACGGCGCTGGAGCTGCATCTGGCCACGCCAGGAGCAGCAGTAGCAGTAGAAAGAGCAGTAGCAGCAGGAGCAGCAGAAACAGCAGTACGGGCAGGGCAGTGCTCACCAGAGGCAAGAAGGACAGGCGTACGACGGCGGCAACGGCGAGGCCGCTACCACTGCAGGGCGAGGGCTCCGCGGCAGCTGCAGGGGCGGCTGCTCCAGGGGCGGCTGCCCCAGGAGCCAGGGGCGGCTGCCCCAGGGGCCAGGGGCGGCTGCTGCAGGGGCGGCTGCTCCAGGGGCCAGGGACGGCTGCTGCAGGGGCGGCTGCTCCAGGGGCCAGGGGCGGCTGCTGCAGGGGCGGCTGCTCCAGGGGCCAGGGGCGGCTGCTGCAGGGGCGACTGCTCCAGGGGCCAGTGGCGGCTGCTGCAGGGGCGGCTGCTCCAGGGGCCAGGGGCGGCTGCTGCAGGGGCGGCTGCTCCAGGGGCCAGGAGCGGCTGCTGCAGGGGCGGCTGCTCCAGGGGCCAGGGGCGGCTGCTGCAGGGGCGGCTGCTCCAGTGGCCAGGGGCGGCTGCTACAGGGGCGGCTGTTCCAGGGTCCAGGGGCGGCTGCTGCAGGGGCGGCTGGTCCAGTGGCCAGGGGCGGCTGCTGCAGGGGCGGCTGGTCCAGGGGCCAGGGGCGGCTGCTGCAGGGGCGGCTGCTCCAGTGGCCAGGGGCGGCTGCTCCAGGGGCCGGGCGCGGGTTAGGGCAGGGCGCCGCGGCGGGCAGGGGCGACGCCGCGCGGGTCCCGCAGGGGCGTCGCGACGAGCGGGGGCGACGCCCGGGTCCTGTCAGGGCGTCGCGATGCGTAGGAGCCGCGCCTCGCAGGTCCCGCAGGGGCGTCGCGACGAGGCGGGGGGCGACGCGCGGGTCCCGCTGAGGCGTCGCGACGAGGCCGGGGCGACACCCGGGTGGCGACGTGGCGGGGTCGCGACCGGCGACGGGGCGGGGCCGCGACTGGCGACGTGGCGGGGCCGCGACTGGCGACGTGGCGGGGCCGCGACTGGCGACGGGGCGGGGCCGCGACTGGCGACGGGGCGGGGCCGCGAAGGCGCCGCGAGGGGGCCGCGAAGGGGCCGCGAAGGGGCCGCGAAGGGGCCGCGAAGGGGCCGCTAAGGGGCCGGGAAGGGGCCGTGAAAGGGGTCGCGAAGGGGCCGCGAAGGGGCCACGAAGGGGCCGCGAAGGGGCCGCGAAGGGGCCGCTAAGGGGCCGTGAAGGGGCCGCAAAGGGGCCGCGAAGGGGCCGCTAAGGGGCCGCGAAGGGGCCGCAAAGGGGCCGCTAAGGGGCCGCGAAGGGGCCGCTAAGGGGCCGCTAAGGGGCCGCGAAGGTGGGGGCGCAACGGGCCTCAGGAGCAGGGCAGGCCCTAAGGGGCCGCGAAAGGGTAGGGCAGGTCAGAGCGCGAAGCGCGCTTCGGGCAGGTTAGGAAAAAAAAAAAAAAAAATGGTGGGCCCTTAGGAAGAAACGGTCCCACTAGGGAACCCGCTCTATACCATGTGAAGAAAGAGGAATGAACGAACTAGCACAAGGTTGGGTACAAGTAGGAAACCCTAGGAAGATGTACCCCTTAGTGTCTACCCCACTATAGCCTAAACAAGCTATATGATAAATGTTTGACACGATCACGCAGCAGATCCCGACAATCGACGGTCCAGGACTGGCTTCTTGTTCCGACTCGAACCAACGGGACCAATCTCCTGGAATTCGCAGAAGCAGGAATTGGTTGCCCTGTCATCAGCCGAAGCAGAATTCATCGCAGCGACCGCAGCAGTTCGCGAAGGCCTCTACCTTCAGGAACTTCTGCAGGAGGCAAAAATTCCAGCTTCGTCCGCCTTTCGTCTTCACTGCGACAACCAGAGCGCGATCTGTGTCGCGAACAAACCTGGTTTCGTCAACCGCACCAAGCACATTGCGCTGCGGTATTTCTTCGTGAAGGACGAAGTGGACAAAGACAAGGTTAACTTGACCTACTGCCCGGCCGGTGACATGGCAGCAGACTTTCTCACAAAGCGACTGCCACGCCAGCAGTATCAGCATTGCTCCGAACTCAGCGGAGTGGTCAAGCAGGTCAAATCGAGCTGCGCCCAGGAGTGAAGGGGGGTGTTACGAATAGTAATGAAGGTTGCAGTGCACTCCCGACCGCAGCTAAAGAAGCACGCAGTATCGAGAACGAATGTGAAGAGTCAAGAGTTGACTCGAAACGTCACACGTTTGGGATGCATCTGGACCGTCGGAAGCAGACGGCAGCGGCAGCTGCAGGCAAGAGGAATCTGGGCGGGAACAGTTTCGTAACTGTACGCGCCGCACGGTTGGGAATGAATCTGAGTAAGGGAATGTACCCCTTAGAGTACATGGCTAGCTAGGTCGATTCGTCTTCCCTGTACTCGTATTTATATTTGTTGTATTTGCATGTTTTAATCATCTCAAGCATTTTACATTCACTCTGCTATTGAGGTGAAGGGCCCACCACCACTAGAAGAGAAGCGTGCAAACCTTCCTGAGGTGATCCTGGTTACGATCAATTTCTGATCGCAGCAGTCTCCAACCTCAAATGAGACTTCCCGGCGTTTCATGTCGGCGTAAGACTTGGCCCAGAAGACTGAAGACCATGGCGCACTCAATTATTGCCCGAATGATTTTTAATTTATATAATTGCCTAGATAGTGATTTACCTGGTTAGGTCTTTAAAGCCCGAGGTCAGCATGGTAAAACAAGAACTTCGAGAATCAGGGCGGGGCCGCCGGGGCGAAAGCGAAATCAGGCGGCGAGGAATCAGGCGAACGGGAACAACATTGCGACAGCTATTCCCCGAACATCGAAGGGAAGGGGGTGGAAGCGATTCAACGTGCGACTCAACACCCCGCTCGCCCCACCCTACCACTTCCGTCCTTGCGATTGGTTGGAATTGGTGGGGGCGTCACTCTCGCCCCATCCCACCACTTCCGTCCTTGCGATTGGTTGGAATTGGTGGGGGCGAAACTCTCACGCGGTATAGGTACCTCACAATTTTCATACACAATGCATAGCCCCTTGAAAACATATCTGGTTATGGATGTGTAGATGACTATAATACAGAACTTAGGGTATGCCCAAATTATCGGCACGGCAGGAACTGCTGAATGTATATTATAGTGAAAACAAATAACCACATTTCAATAACAAAACATTTCGCGTCCAGCAGCTTGCTGTCGTCTCCCTGGTGCGAGGCTTCTAGGTCGTCCTCCTGGCAGGTGGATGTGGGAGGGGAGGAGCAGGAGCAGGAGGGGGGAAGAGGCAAAGGAAATGCAAAGCAGGGAGAGGAGAGGCACATGTGCAGGGAGTGGAGGGACCTATGGAGAGGGAGAGTAAGGAGGGCACATGGGAGGGAGCGGAGGGAGATGTGAGAGGCACGAGCAGGGAACGGGATTGGGGGGGAAAATGGCAGCACAACAAATGCAGCAGCAATTGCTTGCTCTTGGGATCTGGCTGGCCTTCAGCTATCATATCCCTCTCACTCCCCTCAGCCCCACCTGCCGTGTGGTTCTCACCCATTGATCCCCTCATCTCATCCCCTGGGCTCACCTGGCGTGTGCCTCTGCCCTGGAGGGAAGCAGGCCAGAAGGTGGGGGTAATCAGGGCAGAGGGTGGGAGGAAGTGGGAAAGGGGGGGGAGGAAGCAGGGCAGGGGTTGGGGGGAAGGAGGGCAGAGGATGGGGGGAATCAGGAGGGAGGGTGGGGGGAAGCTGGGCAGGGGGTGGGGGGAAGCAGGGCAGAGGATTGTGGAAAACAGGGAAGAGCATGGAAGTAAGCAAAGAAGAAGGTGGGGGGGAGCTGGGGAGAATGAGGGAGGGAGACGGGGAAAGTGAGGGAGACGGGGAAAGTAGGGGAGACGGGAAGGTAGGGGAGACGGGGAAAGTAGGGGAGACGGGGAAAGTAGGGGAGACGGGGAAAGTAGGGGAGACGGGAAAAGTAGGGGAGACGGGGAAAGTAGGGGAGACGGGGAAAGTAGGGGAGACGGGGAAAGTAGGGGAGACGGGGAAAGTAGGGGAGACGGGGAAGGTAGGGGAGACGGGGAAAGGTAGGGGAGACGGGGAAAGTAGGGGAGACGGGGAAAGTAGGGGAGACGGGAAAAGTAGGGGAGACGGGGAAAGTAGGGGAGACGGGGAAAGTAGGGGAGACGGGGAAAGTAGGGGAGACGGGGAAAGTAGGGGAGACGGGGAAAGTAGGGGAGACGGGAAGGTAGGGGAGACGGGGAAAGTAGGGGAGACGGGGAAAGTAGGGGAGACGGGGAAAGTAGGGGAGACGGGGAAAGTAGGGGAGACGGGGAAAGTAGGGGAGACGGGGAAAGTAGGGGAGACGGGGAAAGTAGGGGAGACGGGGAAAGTAGGGGAGACGGGGAAAGTAGGGGAGACGGGGAAAGTAGGGGAGACGGGGAAAGTAGGGGAGACGGGGAAAGTAGGGGAGACGGGGAAAGTAGGGGAGACGGGGAAAGTAGGGGAGACGGGGAAAGTAGGGGAGACGGGGAAAGTAGGGGAGACGGGGAAAGTAGGGGAGACGGGGAAAGTAGGGGAGACGGGGAAAGTAGGGGAGACGGGGAAAGTAGGGGAGACGGGGAAAGTAGGGGAGACGGGGAAAGTAGGGGAGACGGGGAAAGTAGGGGAGACGGGGAAAGTAGGGGAGACGGGGAAAGTAGGGGAGACGGGGAAAGTAGGGGAGACGGGGAAAGTAGGGGAGACGGGGAAAGTAGGGGAGACGGGGAAAGTAGGGGAGACGGGGAAAGTAGGGGAGACGGGGAAAGTAGGGGAGACGGGGAAAGTAGGGGAGACGGGGAAAGTAGGGGAGACGGGGAAAGTAGGGGAGACGGGGAAAGTAGGGGAGACGGGGAAAGTAGGGGAGACGGGGAAAGTAGGGGAGACGGGGAAAGTAGGGGAGACGGGGAAAGTAGGGGAGACGGGGAAAGTAGGGGAGACGGGGAAAGTAGGGGAGACGGGGAAAGTAGGGGAGACGGGGAAAGTAGGGGAGACGGGGAAAGTAGGGGAGACGGGGAAAGTAGGGGAGACGGGGAAAGTAGGGGAGACGGGGAAAGTAGGGGAGACGGGGAAAGTAGGGGAGACGGGGAAAGTAGGGGAGACGGGGAAAGTAGGGGAGACGGGGAAAGTAGGGGAGACGGGGAAAGTAGGGGAGACGGGGAAAGTAGGGGAGACGGGGAAAGTAGGGGAGACGGGGAAAGTAGGGGAGACGGGGAAAGTAGGGGAGACGGGGAAAGTAGGGGAGACGGGGAAAGTAGGGGAGACGGGGAAAGTAGGGGAGACGGGGAAAGTAGGGGAGACGGGGAAAGTAGGGGAGACGGGGAAAGTGAGGGAGACGGTGCATGCAAGGGCGTCGGGGAAAGGAGAGCAGTAAGTGGGGGAACGCAAGGGTGATTGTGGGAGAAAGAGGGGTGGGGGGGGTAAGCGGGGGAACAGAGGGGTGTATGTGGAGGAAAGGAGGGAGGCGAGGACGGAAGGGAAGGTGATAAGTGGTGAGAGGGCGGCCTGTCCACCAGGCGAGGGAAGGGAGTAAGGAGGGGGAGGGGATGGAGGGAGGTGCCCGAGCTGGTGAGTTGTAATCGCGAAGGAGGGTGGGGCATGGGACGAGAGTGTGACGAGAGTCAATGCTGGGACACGACGGGCGGATAGGGCACGGGAGGTTGACACAGTGGAGGGGGGTGAGAGGGCAAGCGAGAACGACGATCAGGGCGACGTGCGGGGCAAGCGTGAACCCCCCCCCTCGCCTCACTCCGTCTCATCCCCCCTGGGCCCCGGCGGGTGAGCGCATGCGATTCGGGTAAACACGGACATCGGAAAAGAACCAACTTCCGAAATCAAGTTGAACGGAAGTTGGATCGTGCTCATGTGTTTCGGAGGGTGTAGGTTGAGTTGAAAGAAATTCGAATGTGCATTGCTGGACACTTTCGATTGGTCGAAACTTGCAAAGCTGCGGAACTCAATTTCGAGTCACGCATTCTCTCATCTTGTTTGGCACGTGCTGGCAGATCGAGTCTTGAATGGCAGGTCTGGCGCAGGCATGGGTGAGATTACCAGGTTCGGGTGTGAAACGCTTTGTACATAAGTTGCTGCGATATTTGTTACTTGGCAGGTGGGTTTGTTAAACAGTTGTAAAAGTAGTATTTGTTTTAAATCCTTGTGTTCCCATTATTGGAGACAAATTTCTTGCACATGATTACAGTTTGAAAGAACAGTAACGTATGTGAGGAAAAAAAATTGTTTATCGTTTTCTATGACTGGCACTTTGCACAGCTTTTGTTGTAGAGTCTGACTTCCACAACGATACGAGCAAGTCTCTAATAAATGGTGCCACAAAGTAGGCTTGTGCGCCACCTGATGTTGTTTCGACGCTACTTTGTTATTTTTTAGAAGTTCTCTTCTTATCATTCACTACATGTACTATATTGCGAGCATGTAGGACAAGTTTGATGCGTCTCGTCGAATAAGGTAGGAAATTATTCTGTTTAAACGATTAAGCAGGGTAAGCTATGCAATGATAGGCACGTGCAACGAGTGGTGTCAGTGTGACGTCCGCTTGATTTTCTTAACAGAAAGTGATTATTTACTCCACTTACATTATTGCAAGCATGCAGGACTCGTTTGGTGTCATTCGCCGCATATGGTAGGAAATTATGTTGCATCAAACGTTTGCGTACAGGAAGTTGTGCAAAATATAGGCATATGTGATGTTACCGTAGCTGGAATGGATTGTTTACCCCGTGCTCGCTTGGGCGACGCTGACTTTCTGGTCGGGCACAAATACTACGGCCGACTGTTCAGCAGGGTTCGGGTTGATGGTCGACGGGGTTTTCGACCTGCAGGCGACCGCTGCGATGCCGCCGTCGGTAGGAGCAGGCGGTCTAGTTCGACAGGGGAGGTCGACGAAGCAGTTAGTCGACCTACGTGGGACCTATGGGCAGCTGTTGAGGACTGGAGATTGGCAACTGCAGCTGATCTTGCTGGTCGACGGCCCGTCCGTCGACCAGAGTAGTTCGACGGGCGCGGTGGTCGTTGAGGGGTTCGTCGACCATGGCGCGCACTGGTGGTCGACCAAGTAACATGCTCGTCGAGTTCTGTGGAGGCACGCGAACGTCGTCGAGGTCGCAGTAGCGAAGGCGACTTCGGTCTTGTATCTCGATGTCGATGTGGCTCGTCTGGCGCAGACAACAGCCGACAGATGCACAGCGGTGCATGTCGGTCAAATCGTCTGCGCGCATCTGCGAGCATGCGTACCGTTGTCTTCGACGGGTGCAGCGCCGTACAGCGTTGGCACGCCGTCGACCAGGATAGTTCGACGGGCGCGGTGCTCGTTGAGGGGTTCGTCGACCAGGGCGCGCACTGGTGGTCGACTTATTAGCCTGCTCGTAAAGTTCTATGGAGGCACGCGAACGTCATCGAGGTCGCGGTGGCGAAGGCGACTTCGGTCTAGTATCTCGATGTCGATGTGGCTCGTCAGGCGCAGACAACAGCCGATGGATGCACAGCGGTGCAAGTCGGGCCAATCGTCTGCTCGCATCTGCGAGAGGGCGTACTGTTGTCTTCGACGGGTGCAACGCAGTACATCGTTGGCACGCCGTCGAGCTGCTGCGTTTGGCATGCCGCGTTTCTGCAGTGCTGGCGCGGCTCCTCCACGCAACGCTGGCAGGCAGTCGACCATGCTATGCTCGCGATTGACCGGGCTAGCTACATGGTTGCTAGGTGTTTGATGTAGTTATCCTTGCCATTGTATGTTCAACCATTCGGGAATGCAAACTTTGCTAACGAAACTCTTACCGAACTGTCTCGTTAATGCGCAAGTGCTAAGGAATGCTCCTAGAGTTCGTGCCAACACCCCGTAGTCTAGTTCACGACAATTGTAAAGAGGCTCTGCGCATGCGACACGTGGCGCCGTCTCTACGTCCATTGGGTTTTGAAAGAACGGTTTCTGTCTATCATTCAAAACTTTTCCTATATTGCAAACATGCACATAAGTTTGGTATATTTCGCCGCATTAGAACATATGTTGCAATGCAGGATAAGTTTTATGTTGTTCGCCGCATCTGGTATGAAGATATGCTGATATGCTGCTTTAGATGATTGAGCAGGAAATGTCAGAATGTTATTATTGTCTAGCCTGCAGTGGGGTACTCTATAGCGAGTACAACCCCTTAGGGTTTCCTATATGTATCCTGCTGCTTGCTAGTGAACCCCCTCCTTTGCTCATTTCTCTCTTGCCTAGCTAGGTAAACCTTAGCTATGGCTCCTACTTGTGCCTACTATTCTAACATGGAATCAGAGCTGTTACGCTCGTGGCCTGTGGGCCTCACGTGCTTCCGCTGCCTTCCTGTTTGTCGCGCGCCCCGTGGCGCGCGACGCTTTTTTCTTCCCGCCACGCGCTCGGGGCGCATGGCGGTTTTCTCCCTGCTGTGCGCCCCGAGGCGCGTGGCGGCTTCCTTCTTCGCGCGTCACCCCGGGGACCCGCGCGTCCCCCCCCCGTCGACGGTCGCGTCGCCCCCCCCTGGAGCCCGTCGCGTCGCCCCGCAACCCACGCGCGGCCCCCGTCGCCCCGTCGCGCCGCCCTGGGGAGCCGCGCGCGACCCCCCGCTACCCCGTCGTGGCGTCTTGGGGAACCGCGTGCGGCCCCCGCAATCCCGTCACGGCGCCCTGGGGAGCCGCGCGCGGCCCCCGCTGCCTCGTCGCGCCGCCCTAGGGAGCCGCGCGCGACCCCCCGTTGCCCCGTCGCGGCGCCCTGGGGAGCCGCGCGCCGTCCCCCGCGTTGCTGCCCGCGCTCCCGCCCCGTTCTGCCCGTTTTAGGGTTTGGGGGTGGCGAGTGTGGGGGTGGCGGGCATGGGGGTGAGCGGTGTCGGTGCTACCCGTCCCCTACTCCTCCTCCTCCTCCGTCTCCCACTGCTGCAGCTGCCGCTGAGGGGGGTGGGTGTGTGGGAGCCGAGGGAGTGGTGCTAGGGGGGTGACGTGGGAGTGGAGCTAGTGGTGCAGCAAGGGGTGTGTGAAAGGGGGTGGGACAGTTGGGGGAAGTTGAGCGGAGGTAGCAGTCGTGTCGCCAGCAGCGCCAGTAGTCCGGAGGCTACAATCTCCGGTAGTCGCCAGTCGCCTGTGGGTCAGTTGCTCCTGTCAGGAGGCTACAATCTCCGCAGAGCCAGTTACTCCTGTAGTCCGGGCCATTGCTTCGGTAGCCATTGAGCCAGCCACTCCTGTGTGTCTGCAGCTTCCACCGTCGCCTCCCATCTCCTCTCCTCTCACAGTCACTCCTCCTCCTCACTTGCCCTCTGCGACTGCCTCTAGCTTTACTTGTGCATGTGAACCTGCTCTATGACTGCTTGCTCTGCTGATTATACCCCACTTTGACTATGGGGGTGTGTCAGAATGTTATTATTGTCTAGCCTGCAGTGGGGTACTCTATAGCGAGTACAACCCCTTAGGGTTTCCTATATGTATCCTGCTGCTTGCTAGTGAACGCCCTCCTTTGCTCATTTCTCTCTTGCCTAGCTAGGTAAACCCTAGCTATGGCTCCTACGTGTGCCTACTATTCTAACAGGAAAGACTGCGCAAGGATAACCCTATGCGACACTTGTTGCCGTCTCGATGTCCTTTTGATTCTGTTAACATGATGATTTTCCTTCAACCAATACATTCACTACAACGCAAGAATGCAGGATAACTATGGTGCCATTCGCCAGATATGGTAGGAAGATATGCTGCTTCAGACGCTTGATACGTGACAATTGTGCATGGATAGGCCTATGCGACATGTGGTTGCGTCTCGATGTCCGTTCGATTTTCTACACATAGGTTCGTCACCATCATTCACTACATTTACTATACTGCAGGAATGCGGGACAAGTTTGGTTCCATTTGACGCATATGGTAGGAATGTATGCTGCTTCAGGCAATTGAGCAAGGACAAATGTGCAAGGATAGGCCTATGCGACACGTGATGCCGTTCAAATGTCTGGTTGATTTTAATAATAGGGTATTCATTGATCGTTCACTACATAAAGTATATTGCAGGCATGTCAAAAGTGTTCGGTGTCGTTTGCCGCATCTTGTAAGGACATATGCTGCCTCGGACGAGCGAGCAACGAGAATTGTGCAAGGATAGGCCTGTGCGACACGTGGTGTTGTTTCGACGTCCTTTCTTTTTTTTTTTTCTCGGTTTTTGTCTATCATTCACTACATCTGCTACATCGTAGTGTAGCAGGACAAGCTTCGTGCCATTGCCGCATATGGTAGGGAGTTATGCAGCTTCGGGACGTTTGAGCAGGGAAAGCTGTGCGTGTATATGCATGTGCGACTTGTGGTGCCAGCTCAACGTCCGTTTGATTTTCTATAAAAGGTTTGCGATGATCATTCACTACACTTAGTGCGCCGTTTGATTTGCAGGATAAGTCTGGCGCCTTTTGCCGCATCTTGTAGGCACGTTTGCTGCTTCAAACGCTTGAGCCGGGAAAGCTGTCCAAGGTTTAGGTTTATCGAAACGTGGTGCCGGCTCGACTTCCGTTTGATTTTCTAAACAAGGTTCCTACACATCATTCACCACATTACCTATATTGCGAGCATGCAGAACAGTTTGGTGCCATTTGCCACCCCCGGTTGGCAGAAGTGCTACTTCAAACGACTGAGCTTTGAAAAGTGTGCAAGTATAGGCCGCTGCTATACGTAATGTTTTGTCGACGTCCGCTCAATATTTATACAAGGATTCCGCTGATCATTCACTACAGATAAATCATAGCTAGCATGCAAGACAAATTCGGCATCGTTCGCCGCATCCGGAAGGATGATATGCTTCTTCATACGAGCAAACAGGGAAATTGTGCAATGATAGGCCTGTGCGATATGCGATGTTATTT